ATGAGAAGTTTTTGCAAAGTAGAAGTGATGCAAGGAGGGAAGACTATATGGAGAAAAAGAGAGAGGTTAAGGCAGTGGTGAAGCAATGTAAAAAGAGAGCAAATGAGAGAGTGGGTGAGATGTTATCAACAAATTTTGTTGAAAATAAGAAAAAGTTTTGGAGTGAGATTAACAAGTTAAGGAAGCCGAGAGAACAAATGGATTTGTCAGTTAAAAATAAGAGAGGAGAGTTATTAAATGGAGAGTTAGAGGTGTTGGGAAGATGGAGGGAATATTTTGAGGAATTGTTAAATGCTGATAAAGATAGGGAAGCTGAGTTTTCGTTCCTCAAGCCTGAGTAGTTCCCCCTTTTGTAGTTTGGTTTTTCCCACCCTATTCTTACTGCTCTCTCCACTTGGAGCTCAACTTTTTAGTCGAAGCACAGAACCACATGATCACTAGCTCCCAGGGGCCTTTCATACATGATATCCTCGATGTCAGAACTACTCAAGGTGAATACAAGGTCCAGTCTTGCTGGTTCATCCTCTCCTCTCTCTCTGGTAGTGCCTCTAACATGTTGATGCATGAGGTTTTCCAGTACCACATCCATCATCTTGGCTCTCCATGTTTTGGGACCCCATGGGGCTCCAGGTTTTCCCAGTCAATCTCCTTGTGATTGAAATCACCCATAACTAGTAACTTTGCTCCCCCCATGTGTGCTCTCCTGGCCACCTCGGCTAGTGTGTCGACCATTGCTCTGTTGCTCTCATCGTATTTTTCTCTTGGCCTCCTGCAGTTCTGTGGTGGGTTGTACATTACTGCAATTATCACTTTATGCCCCTCAGACTGGATTGTTCCTACTAAGTATTCCCTTTGCCCCGGCCGTCCATTCCTTCCTTTTTCTCAAACCCCCACTGGTTTTTAATGAGCATGCAACTCCCCTCCCCCTCTCCTCCCTCTGTCTTTCCTGAGGATTGATATCCGGATGGAAAGATTGAATCTGTTATTATTCTGGTGAGTTTTGTTTCTGTGAGTGCTATTATGTCTGGGATGTCTCCTTGATTCTTTCGTGCCACTCCTCACACTTATTTTTTATTCCATCTGCATTTGTAAAACCAAAACCTTCACTTCTTTCTAAGATTGTGGTGTGGGAGGTGTTTTGGGGGTTGGGGAAGTGGGTGACCTGATAAGGAACTATGGGTGGTTGCTGTGGGGGTGGAGTTTGTAATGCAGTGGGTGGGGGCATTGGATGTGGCATGGGCATTTTGGTTTAGAGTGTTTGGTTGCACTGGGGTTGACCTGGTTGGGAGGCTTCTATAGGAAGTTGTGAGGGAGGCTGTATTTGATCTTCCTCTGTCTGGGATCTCATATCTGTCTTCTCCATCCCCTCTCTTTTCTCTTTTCGCCTTTGTACCATCTCTCTCAGTTTCTGCCTTTCTGCTTGTGTTCTGTCGCAGTCGAGATACACCTTCCTGTATGCTGGCATGTCCCTTAATCGTGCTTTCTCCTGCAGGATCCTGTTCTGAGTCGATTCTGCCTTGAAGGTCACTTTCACTGGCCGGGTTCTTTTTTTTACAAACCCCCCATATTCTCTGAAAATTTTCCAGCTAGGTCATGTCGTCTTCTCCTATTGCTTTCATGATGCTTTCAATTGCTTTTTTCCCCTTGTTTTCTTGCTTCATATGTTTCCCCTTCAACTTCCTGGAGCCCATACACAAAGACTGACCTCACCCTTTCATTCTCCCACTGCATATCCCTGTGTATCCCCTCATTCAGTTTGATTTCCTCCATTTCAGCTTTCCTTTCTTCAGTTTCACTAGCTAATGTACTTGGGCTCAGTGGCCCGTCATTTTCCCTTCTCGGCTTTCCGTGGGCTCTGGTGTGGTCTGTTAGGGCCTCCACATATAGCTTAGCTCTTTCATTTACTACAGTCTCCATTGATTGAGCTTCTACATGCAGTTTTCCTAATTCTTTCCATACAGTCCCCTTATTTGTGACTGAGGTAGCAGTCTCTGTTGTCAATCCCAAAATGTTCTTTAGTTCTTTAGGCTGTTTCAGATTTTTCAGTTCCTCTTCTAAACTCTCTATCCTGGTCTCTGCTGCTTTGACTTGCACCTCCCACTTCCTGCTTTCCATGTCTATCCTCTCTTCCATTCTCAAGCTAAGTTCTTCTAGTTTCCTTTCCCATTCATGTTCCCTTTTTGTGAGCTCTGCTGCCCAATCTTCCTTTGTAGTTTCCTCCTCCTGTCCCTTGGTTTTTCTTGTTGCTCTCTGGCAACCCATTTTTGTTTTATCCTGATTGCCTCAGAGTGGGAAACCTATGTAATTCTGTATGTTAGGTTAGTATTGTGTATGTCAGAGTGTGGGGGGGGGAGGTAGAGGAGGAACTGTGGCTATGTGGGAGAGTAGTGGGGAGGGGGTGGGAAGGAGGGAGAAGCAAGTGGGTGAGTGGGAGAGGGAGAGGGGGAAGGAGGGAGAGGTGGGGAGGGTGAAAGAGGGAGGGGAGGGATCAGGTGAAGGAGTGAGATGTCGGTGGGGGAGGGGGGAGTGTATGTGTGAGTCTGGCAATGTGTGTGTGTCTGTATGTGTGAGTCTGGCAATGTGTGTGTGTGTGTGTGAGTCTGGCAATGTTTGTGTGTCTGTATGTGTGAGTCTGGCAATGTGTGTGTGTGTGTGTGTGTATGTGTGAGTCTGGCAATGTGTGTGTGTGTGTGTGTGTGTGTGTGTGTGTGTTGTGTGTGTGTTGTGTGTGTGTGTTGTGTGTGTGTGTGTTATATGTGTGTTGTGTGTGTTGTGTGTCTGTGTGTCTGTGTGTGTATGTGTGTTGTGTGTGTGTGTGTGTGTGTGTGTGTGTGTGTGGGGTGTGTGTGTGTGTGTGTGTGTGTGTGTGTGTATGTGTGTGTGTGCATGTGTGTGTGTGTGTGTGTGGTGTGTGTGTGTGTGTGTGTGTGTGTGGTGGGGTGTGTGTGTGTGTGTGTGTGTGTGTGTGTGGTGTCTTGTGTGGTGTAATGACTGGCCGAAACTTCTTGTGACCTGACCACAACCCTCCTGGGACTTGGCCCTCGCACCATCTCACAATGTTGCCCTTAAAAGTTTGTCCCACCACCTAGCTTATAGTAATACTCGCCTTGTGTGTGTGTGTGTCTGGATTTAAGTATCAATTATTGCTGGTTATTATCCTGTTCCATGTTCACATTGGGAGAGGACTTCCTAGCTTCCTAAGTATTCTTACTGCTAATAACTACTGGAATTAATACTACTCTACTCCTCGCTGGACCCTACCTTCTCACACTCGTCAACACTATATTCACTATATCTATGCTATTTCTATTCTAATTCTGGTAATAGCTTGCAGGAGTGAGTGACCAGTATCAAACAGTATGCAAGGCCAGCCAGGGCCTTCAACATGCAAACCACAAATGGGCGAATGAAACTTGCGCTCATTGGGTGCGGTGACAATGTGCCAGCTGCTGATGACGAAGTCGTCGTACGTAGGCCTTAAATCCCTATCTTGGAGATCCTTCACCTGTGATGTTTATACCTGGAGTTTACCTGGAGAGAGTTTCGGGGGTCAACGCCCCCGCGGCCCGGTCTGTGACCAGGCCTCCTATTCTCATACATCCCGCTTCCTCACGCGATTTCACTCTTCACTGATGATAGTATACACTTCACATTATGTACACTTCACTTTATATGTATAATGGCACACAACTTGTCGTGACGTCACTTTTTCAGGCCTACCGCTGCCAATGTGGCAACAGCGCCTAAGACCCCCAACGGTTTGCGCTTTGAAATATTTTGATTTCAGCTTTCCTCTTACTTTTTTTAACTAATAACTTTAATTATCACTATAGTATTGTTCACTGACGTTCCACTACCACTGATTACCGCTAGCTGTTATTGCAAGCCTTACAACCCTAAGGTTCTCGGAGCCTTCTTACCCACGACTGCACCCCACGGACCCACGCGTTAGTGTATAATTTTGTGTGTGTGTGTGTGTATGTGTGTGTGTGTGTGTGTGTGTGTGTGTGTGTGTGTGTGTGTGTGTGTGTGTGTGTGTGTGTGTGTGTGTGTGTGTACGTAAACCCTCAGTCGTGAAGAAGAGTGTTAATTTTGATATTTTTAAGCGCTTGCGTAATTTCGGGTGGTTTCTTTAGGTTTTTAATATATATTGTAAAAATCACCGATGCCGATACTTCTGCGCACCGCTGGTAGATAGTACAATGATACTAACGAAACGGTTTGAAGAATACTTGTTTATACAGTGCAGGATATATTTTAAAAGATACGTTTGGGTCAGGAACTTAGTTCCCTTCATAATGGCGGAACCGTCAAAGGATATAACAGTAATCAAAGTTAGAAATCTCTCTGTAAAATCTTTCTCGAATTAAAACATGGTACCAAAATTAGGAATGTTCAATATTATTTCATTTATCGGAAGACTATAAACCCTATATGATCCTACTTAATTTCCTAGGGTAGTCTAAGCCTGTTGTTCCGTGGATCAGCTCCTGTTGCCTCTGTTCCTTTAGCAGTAAATAGGTACCTGGGTGTTAGTCGACTGGTGTGGGTCGCATCCCGAAGACAAGATCCCACTGGAAATAGGACAGTCCCCAGTGACGCACTGACTTTATTGGGTTATCCTGGTTGGCTAATCCTCCGGGGTAAAAATTCGGTCAAGATGTTATCTCAGGTCGAGGTGTTATACAGCGCCTTGAGAAGTGCGAGGTAATCAGATGGGAGTGTTATGACGCCTGACACTGGCGTCATATAACAGCCACTGAGGGAAGGGAGGGTGGGAGGGATGGTCGATATAACAATGAACAGAGATCATATGCATGTTAGTAGGTGTATGGCGTTCGTCACAGTAAACCAGCGATAGAAAGTTGAAGACTTCCAGATGAACGTTCATAAGTGACTAACAAAAATATTGGGATGAAAAGAATCATTTACGAATGCACTTAGAGGTTCCCCTTAAGGATAAATAACAAGAACGAAAATCTGCATAGGCCTATACTTACGCTGGGTTGACGTCAGCTGCAGCAGCAGCAGCAGCAGCAGCGCGATGCTCCAGGCTGCCAATCCACACACAACCTTCAACTTATGAAAAATATTTTTATCTAATTAAACATTTCGATTAATTATTCTGAAGATGTTCTCACAGTATTTTCTCGTATGTTAGAACGCCAATGATAAAGACAGAAATGTGTGACAAAGGAAAGTGTGCTTTACATATACTACTGAATTATTAACCAAGGTTTGTAATCCATACACAAATTAAAGGTATAGTACGATGGGCCAAATTTCACTCTACAAAATAATTTACACACAAAGTAAAAACAATCCAACTGTACAAACCTGGTACATCACGAGCTGACACTGTTAAACTAACTTGACCACAAAGGGAACGCTTTCACAGAGCAAGAGTTACTAGCGACAAAGAGAATCACCTTCCCTCTTCCACCGCCAGTTGTAACTGAAAAGAAAACGGGTTGTGTGGCATTGATATATGCAGGAGCTGCAGTTGCCTATTCCAGACCTCTCAAATGAATACATGTTATACATTCAGTCATGAATCGCATTTTTTAACAAGAAGAAAATATCCAACAGTAATACACTTGAATATGTATTGAATTTATATAAGTTGAAGAATAATTATAAACACATACAAACAGTACGGCAACATTACCAAAAGTTTCCTATTTCTCAAGTGAATATCCACCAGACATTCTTGGCTTGAGGTGTTGTGTATATACCCTGTGAGATCCCTCTGCATTACACTAGAAATGTATAAGTAATATATAATAAAATATTTTAATATATATATATATAATATATATATATATATATATAAAATATATATTATATATATATATTATAAATTATTATATAAATATATAATTATATATATAAAATAATATATAATATATATATATAAATATATATATATATATATATATAATATATATATATTATTGTTTTTGAGAGCTTTACGAATTTGTAGTCCCGAGTTCATAGATGAGGAAATATCCAAAATTTATGAAATAGGTAATGATTAAATTACCAAGAAATGTAAATTGATAAATTTTTAAAGTTGCTAGAAATACTTTTTACAATCCAAATGGGACAACCAACCTTATTCAACTAAAAATATGTTGGTTCTCCCTTACCATGAAAACTTGGTTGATATGCCTTCTCTTCTTAAGACTTTTAATATTAAAGTTGTATATCAAAAATCTTGATACAGTAAAAAAAACTTTTGATAAAGAATTCCCACCCCCAAAATGCTGATGGATGTGTCTATAAGATTCCTTGTAAAAATTGCGATAAAGTTTATTACGGTCAAACTGGTAAAAATCTCGAACTAAGATTAAAACAACATAAATATAGCATTAGAACTGGACAAGATTCCAATGCTCTATTTATTCATGTAAGAGATTTTAAACCATCCAATTTGATTTTCAAAAAGTTGAGAAAGTAGTATCAAGCAAGTCCATGGTCGACAGGAATGTAATTGAATCTTGTTTCATAAAAAGCAGTTTTGACAATAATATGAATATTTCCTTTGGTTTATATAAATTAGATCCATTTATAATTAATAGAATTTGGGAAGAATTTAATAATACAGTGGACAAATAATAATTTTTAAATTTTCTTGGGTAGAATAGTTTGTTGGTGAGTTGTGCAAAGGACCTATCCAAGTTGGGTCGGCGCGCGTCAGGTGTTTAACCGTTGTGGGATCTGATAGTGAGGTGTTGGCCAGTCCCCTTATATAGCTTCCTTGGATGCTTCACTTTCATAGTTCCTTGATAATGTGAGTAGTCACGAAAGCGCTTGGAATTTCTCTATTTTTTCAGAGTGGTTGTTTTTGCATATTCTGAAATCACCTGTTTTACTGTGATCTTATTTGCATATATATATATAATATATATTATATAATATATATATTATATATATATATATATATATATATATATATATATATATATATATATATATATTATATATATATATATATATATATCGCTGAATAGGAAAAGCTTTCGATTTTGAGTGAAATAGCAACGCTCTTCTCGCTGAATAAGAGAAGCAAAAATTTGTGTATGCAATAATTTTGCAAAAATCATTCTGAACCTAACGAAAAAAAATTATCATTGTGTTTGTGTATTACAAAATTGTTAACTTATCTAAAATATATTTAGTTGGATTAGGCTAAATTAAATTGCGCTTGTTATAATAAGGTTAGACAAGTTTTCTAAGCTTCTTTTGGCACAAGATTATTAATTTTTACATTAATATTAATGAGGAAAAAAAATATCTTTAAACGAATAAGATAAAATTTTAGAAAGGACTTAATTTTAAATGGGTTCTTGCTAATTGACCTATTTTACCTATTAGGCACGACATATATACACCCATTCCTCTAATGCAAATGTGACTTCCATAGTCTAGGGAAAGGTAAACAAAAGAGTTTCCATGAATATTATTCAAATCTCTCTTTTGTCTGGCGTTTTTATTATTTTTTTTTGCATCAGTTTTACGTCATGATAAAGTTTTCCTGAAATGCAGGAAGGAAATTTTGAAATATTTTTGTTGACATTTTTATTAACCTGATTAAAATTATAATTATTATTTTACTGTTGGAACTTTTCGCTCACCAGGAGCTTTGTCAAGCCGTTACTTGGAGAGTGAAACGTTGCTACACTAACATTATTGTTATTAATAGTAGTAGTAGTAGTAGTAGTAGTTGTAACAGAAATAGTAGAAGTGATATCGTAATATTAATAATGGTATTGGTAGTAGTAGTAGTAGTAATAGTAGTAGTAGTAGTAGTAGTAGTAGTAGTAGTAATAGTAGTAGTAGTAGTAGTAGTAATAGTAGTAGTAGTAGTAGTAGTAGTAGTAGTAGTAGTAGTAGTAGTAGTAGTTGTAACAGAAATAGTAGAAGTGATATCGTAATATTAATAATGGTATTGGTAGTAGTAGTAGTAGTAAATAGTAGTAGTAGGTAGTAGTAGTAGTAGTATAGTAGTATAGTTGTAACAGAAATAGTAGAAGTGATATCGTAATATTAATAATGGTATTGGTAGTAGTAGTAGTAGTAATAGTAGTAGTAGTAGTAGTAGTAGTAGTAGTAGTAGTAGTAGTAGTAGTTGTAACAGAAATAGTAGAAGTGATATCGTAATATTAATAATGGTATTGGTAGTAGTAGTAGTAGTAATAGTAGTAGTAGTAGTAGTAGTAGTAGTAGTAGTAGTAGTAGTTGTAACAGAAATAGTAGAAGTGATATCGTAATATTAATAATGGTACTGGTAGTAGTAGTAGTAGTAATAGTAGTAGTAGTAGTAGTAGTAGTAATAGTAGTAGTAGTAGTAGTAGTAGTAGTAGTAGTCGTAGTAGCGACTGTAGTAATAGTGGAGGTTGTAGCAGAAATAGTACTTATAGAAATATAATAGTAGAGATGGTAATAATAGTATTAACAGCAGTTGTTATGAAGCAACCTAATGTGCTAATAAAATAATGGTCATTTTGGTGGGCTCTTAAATTTAGCGTAACTTAAATTTTAATCTCTATATATTTATTGTTTATATTTGTTCATAACTGAAGCTGAGATATGATGGATGCAAGAGTAAGAAAATGTGAGGAGTGTGTTAGATGTATACTTTATGATATTAAAATATGTATTTTAATATATTCGATGAAGCAGGTGAGAGAAGCGTGGGGAGACACCACTCCAAGGTTGCAAGGCTGGCCAGGGTTGCAAGGCTGGCCAGGGTTGCAAGGCTGGCCAGGGTTGCAAGGCTGGCCAGGGTTGCAAGGCTGGCCAGGGTTGCAAGGCTGGCCAGGGTTGCAAGGCTGGCCAGGTTTGTTGGTCCGCTAGGGTTTTAGTTCTGGTATGGTTGTAGGTCTACCATGGTTGAAGGTGTATCAAGATTGTAGGACTGTCAGGAGTGTTAGGCTGAGAAGTTTGTAGGTCTACCATGGTTGTAGGCCTGTCATGGTTATAAATCCGACAGGGTTGTGTGTCTGCCAAAACAGTAAGTCAACAATGGTTGTAGGTCTATCTTGGTTGAAGGTGAGCCAGGGTTGTAGGCATACAGTGATTGTAGCTGTTCTATGGTTGTAGGTACACTACGATTGTAGGTTTACTATGTATGTAGGTCTACCATAATTGTAGGTATACCGTGGTCGTTGGTCTACTATGGTTGTAGGGCTACCATGGACGTTGGTCTACCATAATTGTAGGTCTAACATGGTTGTAGGCTTACAATGCGTGTAGGTCTGCCAGGGTTGTATGTTTGCCAGGGTTTTTGGTCTGCCATGGTTGTAGGTCTGCCATGGTTGTAGGTCTACCATGGTTGTCGGTCTACCATGGTCGAAGGCATACCATGGCTGTAGGTCTGCCATGATTCTCGGCGTGGCAGGGTTGTAGGTCCGCCAAGTTAGTAAGTCTACCATAGTTGTAAGTCTGCCAGGGATGTATGTCTACCATGGTTAGTGGTCTACCATAGTTGTTGCTTTTATAGGATTGTACGTCTGCCATGGATGTAGGTCTACCAGGGTTGGAGATTTGCCAGACTTGTAGGTATACCGGGTTTGCAGGTCTGCCAAGTTTGCAAGTCTGCCAGATTAGTAGGTCTGCAATGGGTGTAAGTCTACCATGGTTGTAGGTCTGTTAGGACTGTAGGTCTGCCGTGGTTGTAGCCCTGCCATGATTGTAGGACTGTAGGGGTTATAGTTCTTCCATGGTTGTAGATCTGCCAGTGTTGTAGGTCTGCCGGGTTAAAAGGCCTACAGGGATTGTAAGCCTGGCCGAACTGTAGTTTTGCCAGGATTGTAGGTCTACATGGGTTATATTTCTGCCAGGATAGTAGGTCTGCAAGGATTGAAAACTTGGCAGTGTTGTAGGTCTGCCAAGATTGTAGGTCTACCAAGGTTGCAGGTCTACAAAGGTTGTAGGACAGTCATGACTGTAGGTCTACTATGGTTGTAGGTCTACAGGTATGTAGGTCTTCCATGATTATAGGTCTGCCATGGTTGTAAGTCTGATTGGGTTGTAGTCCTACCAGGGTTGTAGGTCTACCATTGTTGTAGTTCTGCCAGGATTGTAGCTCAGCTATGGCTGTAGGTCTGCTAGGGTGTATGTCTACCACTGTTGTAGGTCTACCAAGGTTGTCGGTCTACCATGGTTGTAGGCCTGCCATGGCTGTAGATCTGCCAAGCTTGTAGGTCTGCCATGATTGTAGATCTGGCAGGATTGTAGGTTTACCATGGTTGTAGGATTACCATTGTTGTAAATGTTCCATGACTGCAGGTGTACCATGATTGTAGGTCTGCCAGGGTTGCAAGTCTGTCAGGATAGTAGATTTCCAATGGTTATAGGTCTGCCAAGGATGTATGTCTATCATGGTTAAAGTTCTACCATGGTTGCAATTTTTATAGTATTGTAGGTTTGCCATGGATATATGTCTAACAGGGTTGGAGATC